CAAATGATCTCAATTTCTTCCCACTAAATAGAAAACCAAAAATATTTTCATATACTTCAAATTGTTCAAATCTATTTTGAAGTGAAAAGATGGCTTGGTCTACTATGTATAAGAAGTAATCAACTCTAAATTATTCGGGCTGCTGCAATATATTTTTCTCCAAATTTAAAATATAAATTATCAATAGAACAAGTAAAATTCATAAGCTTTGAATAAGAGAGATGTAAGATTAGAATTTAGAGAAGAGAAGTGAGAATAAATAGAAGAGATGAAGGGAGGAGGATAGAATATATAAAAATAAAATTAGAAAAAAAATAACTTGTACATTAAAAAAAAGTACACAACATTTTATTGGAAAGTTAAAAAGTCATAGTCATAACTCATATATATCACTTCAGCTGTTTGCATTTTTTTTCCATCCGTTTGCATTTATTATTGTCTTCATTCTAATTTTTTTTAATTTAATCTTACCCAATTAACTAAAAAATGGGCTCCTCTAAAATTGGGGGCCTAAGGCCAAGGACTTTTCCTTAAGCCTAACCAGCCGCCCCTATGTCAAGAGTGTTCAAAATATGTTATTTAACCACTTTGTTTATCATTTTACTTATATATACGGTATAATTTTCCGACGAAGGGTGTCCAATATAAGGGTGGCTACGCCACTGGCTGAGTGACTATTAATTTTCCTAAAGACCCTGAGCTCAAGTGCAACAATTCATTCTGCTGATTGGACATACCCTCTCTGGTAGAATGACGTTAGTGAACTTAAGATTGCTCTTTGTGGTGGCAGAACAGTTTTGAGGTGTACCCTGCAACTTGACGCTACGGAACTCATCCCATGTTAGGTCGGTAAACTCTGCCACAAAACATATACTAGCAGTATGAGCGACGGACATAACAGAACAACTTCATATATATATATATATATATATATATATATATATATATATATATATATATATATATATATATATATATATATATATATATATATATATATATATATATATATATATATATATATATATATATATATATATATATATATATATATATAACAAAAATTATACATACTATTGACACCGAGTTTGTATGATAGTCCTGATCTTTTGTTGTTGTGCGATCGAATCATCTTCAGATTCTCCACAAATATCTCAAACCTTAGCTTGATCTCCTCAACGGACTCGTACTTTTTCCCATACCTTTTATAAACATTCAAATATACAACAATACATTATTATATACTTACAGCAAAACGAAGGAGAAATCAATCTCATTTTGTATTTAGTAATTAACTTGTTAACAAAGCGAGCAAAGGAGAGAGCGTCGTCACTCTCGCCAACCACTTGAAGAATTCCGTTCTCCACTTCTTCCGAAACAACGACTTGTCTGATCGGATTCTCATCAGCAAAGGTCGCCGCTCCGGTAATTGTAGCGGCGAAAAGGCCGGCGATGAGAACCAATAGGACTGAGGAACGTGACATTGTAATTGTAATTCGGGAAGAGGATTGGATGAATAAGGTTGGTAGGAATAGTGGAGAATTTATAGAGGTTTATTTTTGTTCAATACACACTCCCTCTCTATTTACTCATCAAATATTTCCTAATTTGATTTCTCGGAAAAATTACCTATATACACGACTTATTTTACCATATTTTCTAAAATTTCTTACCATTTGAAAAAATTACAAAAAATCATATTCTTTCCTATTCTCGGAATTTTATATATTTATTTTTTCTGAAAATTAGTAGTTTTTAATAATTTATTTTAAAATCATTATTTTTACACTCAAATGTCATATGTCAACTTCTAATTAGTCATCATGACATGTCATCGGCAAGTGTATTACACACACTTTGTATTTTTAGCTGATTGTAAAAAAACGTATCAAAATGACACAGTGGAGCCCTACTTGAGGTGTTTAAAATGAACAAAGTCTACTTGAGGTGTTTAAGTGAAAATTGATGTGAACTTTAAGGGATTGTCGATGGATTCTGCTATTTATTGCTAATATATTTGAGTAAATATGTTTAAGATTTTATCAATTAATAGAGGTAACTCTACCAATTATTATTTTCTTGATAAGTGTGATAAGTCAAAATTTTGACAAATAAAAAAGAACAATTCCTTGATTTTCTGCTTATTCGGGAATGGTGTGTTTATCTTTCCACATTCTTTTAAGTTATGCGCCGAACAGATAGTGAGTAGTAAAAAGTAAAATTTTCATGTTAGAACGTCAACATGAAAAACATAGCGTTTTGTCAATTTTGTAAGTTGAAGAAATAAATATGTGATGGACATTTTATAGCATAAATATTGAGGACATTTTTATCTAAATATATGGAGTTTTCTTGTAGAAAGAAAATGAAAAAAACATGGTGTTTTTGCTTGGTGGTAAACTAGTAGTATACGTAGAAAAAAATGGACCACTTACGATAAGATTTTGTCTTCTTTCATTACATTTAGCAACTTCTTACATGTTCGAGAGTGATCAGTGAATTAACAAACGAAGACCCTTTCACAAACTTTCTAGAGGAATAAAATAAACTCACTCAAATTGGTTAATATATATTATCTTCGTTCACTTTTATTCATCTAATTTTAACTCTGCACATCATTTAAGAAATACTTAATAATTAATATGAATCTTGAAAAGTAATTTAAAAATAAGTAACTTTTTCCCAACAACACTTTTAGCACACTAACACTAGTGATCGAAAAGTTAAAAACTACTTGCTTTGAAAAAAATCCTATGAGAATCTTCGTGACCTTAATTTCCATTTTTTGTTATGAAAATTGTTCGGAAATTTGAAGTTAGTTACTCCTATACACAGTAAAATCTCACTAAAATAATATAGTTGGGATCATAAAATATTATTTAATCAATAAATTAATATTTATTAATTAAAGAGTGTTTTTTTAGTCAACTTTGTGATATTGGATAATAAGAGCTTTCAAGATGTATTATCGCAACAAATTTTATCATAGGATATTAAAAGGCTATAAAGTGGGACAAACTAATTCAGAAAAGATTAATGTTTTGGATGTTATCAAGTTTGCAATTCCGGCTTGGACGACAAATGTTCAGCAAGAGATAATAGCAAATCATTTTCGACATTGAAATATTTATTCGGAAGATGAAATCTTAGAGAATTTGAATGAACCCACTTGTGAAAACGTCATTCATGAACTTGAGGTCATGATTAATGATCTTGGTTACCTCAATAAAATTGACGTCAATAACGTATTGGACTATCTGGGTGAAAATGATACATGTTCAGAGATTTAGAACTTAGAAGAAATTATGGATACCATCAAAAAAAAAAATGTTAACGATGAAGTTGAAAATGATACAATACCTTTGGAACCAGTTACACGTAGGGAAACACCTATCGCATCTAGAACTCTTCACAATTTTATGGTGCAGTTCGAAATGACAACACAAAAACTTTTGGATGCAATAAGAAAATGTAGAGATGAAATAAGGAATAGAATTGTATTCATTCCAAAAGTAATTACTTACAAGAGTTAAAGGTAGGGGTGTGCAAAAACCGAACCGACCGATAAACCGAACCGAAAAAAGTGTTATTGGTTTATTGTTATTGGGTTATTGGGATAACGGTTATTTAATGGTTTTACAAAAAAAAATTATTGGGTTATCGGTTCGTTATTGGTTTTTAATATTGGGTTATTGGGTTAACCGATAACCCATTAAGAATATAATAATTTACTATTTTAATTTTTAGTTATACATATATATAGAATATTAAAAAAATATTAATATAAATAGTAGTATATTAGACTAAAAATATAAAACCCTACGCAATAATTAACACTACTTAACAGTTAACTCTCCTCTCTATTTTTAGTTATTTAACCTTTAGGTTTTACCTTTTAGTATTACTTATTTACTGTTTTGACTTTTTGTCTATGATTTGGTTTTATTTTGTATTCTTCTTTATTTGCATAAAGGGGATCTCATTTTATATATTATGGTGATCGAAAATTAACCAAGTCTTTGTTGTGATTGACCAAAATACAACAAGTTGGTCCTTGTTGTCCCGTTTGGAATGATTATTTCGATGTATGCGTATCGCGTCAAATTATTGGATAAGTCATATATTTGTTTTGAAAACATTTTCTTATTGGTTAAACCGAAAACCGAACCGTTAAAGAGCTAAAACCGATAAACCGAAAACCGATAACAAATATCTTATTGGTTTGGTTATCGGTTTATCATATTAAAAAATAAAAATCCGATAAACCGAACCGATAATACTTATAACCGAACCGAACCGACCGATACACACCCCTAGTTAAAGGCAATCAACATTTTGATTTCAATAATCCAATGTAACTCTCATTCAAACTGTGTTCAAGCGATACTGTGTTCTTTCGCTAAAAAACAAGATTCTAAAATAAACCTCTAAAATAATATTCATAGTTCCAAGAAATTTGAAATTTAAAAATAGAAAGCAGAAATCTCGAGGTTCGTCTGATGTTGCGTTTGACAGCTCGTCACAGGTGTGACAGTCTGTCGCCTAGGTCGTTACTGATCTACAGAAAATTGATTTTGTTCTGTAGGTGTGACGCTTGATGTTACGACCCAAGTAGACCGGACGGTCCATAACCCTTACCGTAAAAAAACTTCAGGACTTGATCTTTCTTATAAGTGTGACGGCTACCCCTGACGGTTCATTAGACGGTCGTTAGGCTTACGTCAGAACTCTCCTTTGATAACACTTAGCTCCATTTTGTTTTATTTTTTGCCTCGACTGAATTTTTATCTAACACGGTATAAAAACTATTAAAAGACATTATCGTTGCTTAAAAACTCACAACTATTCATACTTAAAAGCATCAATTGTGTCGTCAAAATGCCGCCACATTCAATACCCTCAACTTAGAACATTTCTTTGTCCTCAAGCAACATCTAACACAATATTTACATACTAATGTACAATCATCATTCACAACAGTTTAAACATTCTTTACTTAGGCATGCATATGTCTATTAGTTAATGCATCAACTCAAAAGGATCTAGGAATGACATATGGATATGAACAAGCAACTTAGCATACATTCTTAACAATCAACCATTAATAGTGCAAACTTGATACCCTTACCATAAAGAAGTCCCTATCATTTTCATGACAAGATTTATTTGTGAGGGGAAATGTGAAAACTCACACCCAAAATGAAATTCAAGCAATACACGCACAACACATAAGTTTAGCCTTATTATTTCACATCGCTTTCAAAGACATGGACAAGGACACTATAGGACTTATCTGGCTTATAATATAGGCTCAGAGTAAAGATAAGATACATTTAGGAGTAGTGAGTACGCCCTCCTTACAACCATCTTCACCCTTTTTTTCCTCTTTAGCCAAGGTTATTTCTCCCATTTTCAGATCCTTTGGGTACGACTCATCATTTTATTCTCCTTTTAATTTTACCTGAAAATAACTTATTACTCATGATGACACACAACATTTCCAAGTTCTGATTATTTTCATCCTATCTTTATTCATACCCTATTATATCATTACTTTACTCATGGTAGTCATCCTCAACTTAGGCATTTTTTTCTGAGCTAAGGTACACAATGACTAAGGAGGGCCAGGGCCAAAGAAGCAATTTCAAAATAAAAAGAGAAGGTATACAGGTTAACAACAAATAAGTTATCGTTAGGCTCAAACTTTGGGATCAACAGATTTCTTTGTTTATTTGATTGGTCTTATAGGCTGAGTGGGCTAAATTCAAAAACGGCCTATGATCCTTTCCTAATTCATTGACTTTCAGTCAATGCAACATAAACCATGCAAGTTCTAGATGCATATACAAAGCAAGAATAATGTACAAATGCTCACAATCACACATGAACTACACTGTCAACTTCTAACTATCAAGTCGCTTAAATCACAGTTATTTCATTCATACTCAATGAATTTCACAGAAACTTTCTTAACAGTCAACAATATTACCAACAACACATAATATATAATCACTAGCTGCAAACATTTTATACAGGACTGACTCGATACATCACACGTATATACAAACACAATTTGACAATTCTAGACATGCCGGTTCTACTAGATAACACCTAAAGGAAAAAAAAACACGACAACTAAACCCCTCGGCGATGGTACATCCTCTCAAAAACTATGCATTATTCTCGATGCATCAAAATTCTAATAAGTAATCATAGAGAAGGGTTTACCATGACGCGCTAGGCACCAAAGTGTGGAACTGATGGTGGAGTAGTAACATCTCTAATGACCTATGTCACGGTGGTAGTGGTTTCTGGTGCATCAGTGATAACTCAACAGGGGTTTCCACACCCAATGGAATAGTAGGAGCTGACTAGAAATGCTAAATAATAATATCTCACTAATGAGGGCCAACTCAAACACTCGAGGCTATGCGGATCTCACCAACAATAATTCTCCCAAAGTCTATTAGGATTCCCGACAGTAAAGTAGACACAAATACCGCCTTATCATCAGCCATATATTGT